GGGGGCGGAAGGCGAGCACGAGGACGAGAACGACGTCGACTCTGACGACTACTTTGACGACGACGCCCACGCCGACGCCGACGTGACGAGACATGGCGACGAGACGCTTCCTAGAGGCTTTGGACGAGCGAAAAGCGCGAATGGTCGGGGGCAAATTAGCATCAGCAGGAGGAGGGCGAGGAGGAGGATGCGGCGCGCGCCCTGCCCTTCCCCTCCGTCTTGCCTCCCCATGCTCCTCCCCCCTGGTGGAAGTGTTTCTCAGGCATCCCAGTTGACTCCTCCATCCCTTCCTCACCTCTTTCTCCCCATCCCCCTCCTCTCTCTGAGTGTCTAGCCCTTGGACTGACCCCCTAATGCCTTATCCCCATGGTGATCCTCCTCCCCCTCCTCCTCCTCCTCCTCCTCCTCATCCTCCCTCTTTGTTTGACATTGATCGGACTTTACATCGGCCCAATGAAAGTCCCTGGAATTTTCATCACGACGCTGGCCGGCGGAAGTCGACTGAGCTATAACGAGGCGGAAGACGGGGGAAGGCCGCCGGAAGGCTTGCCAATGTCAGCGGAAGTAAACGACGCCCCTTCCGAACCCCCTACCCCCGTAGAAGCCTAGCAATGTTGTCTTCCTCCGTGGGCCGGGCGGGATCCCGCCTGGCTTATTTCGCTTTAATATGATAAGTTTAGTTCAGGACGATCTGAATCCCACCCATTGAAAATGGGGTAGACCAAAATCCCGGGCCGTTCACGGATCCCACCATGCTGGGATCGGCTCGAAGTAAGATGGGGCTCATAAGTTGCAGTATTATTGCCGTGTTGGGGTCGTCTTGAGGTCATCTTGAGATCATATCCCGGTCATGTTTCGATCACGCAACCATCGCGTGGTCATTATGAGGCCACCCTGGGTGCGCTTGGATCCATCTTGTTGCCATCGGGCCATCTCGGCGTCACGCGTTGCTCATGTGTTTCGTCATCTGCGAGTCGGCCTGAGACGGTCCAGAATCCATGGCGGGATCGCGTTGGGGTGGCATCATCCTGGGTCCTCTGGGCGTTATCGTCCGTGGCCTGAGGCATTCCTGGAAGCATGTTGTGGCCATGGAACGTCTTGGGATCGCGTGCGTGCGAACGCTGAGCACGCGCGCGCGACTTTTCATCTTGCCGACGGGTTTACATACATATTATTCCTCTTGCGAGTTTCCAAGGGAACTTTTGTTGGAGCCAAGTAGTCACGGGGTTCGCAGCGTTCTTCCTCCTCCTCGTCCTCCTCCGCCTCCTCCGCCTCCTCCCTTTCCATATCTCTCTGCCCCCTCGTCATCCTCCTCCGCTTCTTTATTATGTTTGCTCCTCCTTGGAGGAGGAGGAGGAGGAGGAGGAGGAGGAAGAGAAGGCCTCCGCGTTCTCGTGAGAAGGGGGAGGAGGCGCCAGAGTGGAGGGCTTCACCAGTGCACGGCGGGCTTCGAAGGCGCCCTAAACTCGGTAATCTGATCTCCGTATTGATATGCGAGGTAGGTGGAGATCCGCGCATGTGGTGGCAAATGACAAGGAGGAGGAAAGGCGAGACGACGACGAGGAGCAGCATCGGCACCAGGAGGACGGGCGACGAGGAGTCAGCGACCGGCGCGCGAGCCAGAGGTCGCGCACGCGCCGGCCGATGCTCGGCGCCAGGCTGCGAGGCGCGTGGCAGGCCGCTGCGGGGCGTTGTTTTCAACGTCGTCGTCGTCGTCGCGCCGTCGTCGTCGTCGTCGTCGTCGCCTCCGCCACCGTCGCCTTCGTCGCGTCGTCGTCGCCACCGTCGTCGTCTCCGTCCCCTTGTCGTCGTCGTCGTCGTCGTCGTCTGTGTCGTGGTCGTGGTCGTCCTGGTTGTTTTCGTCGCGTCGCCGCTGTCGTCGTCGTTATCTTTCGCTTTAAACTGATTCGACTTATTTTCTAGAGCTCCCGTGTTTTAGCTTGAGGTTCTGAAAGGTTTTCGAAGGTTCATCTTTTCCCTCTTCACATCTTCTTCGCCAACTCCTCTTCCCTGCTTCCCCGCACGCTGGTGGTGTGTCCAGCGTGGAGGTTTCGATACCTCCACGGAGATCTTCTCCCTCTCCATCTTTTCTTCGCCTCTATTCCTGCTCCCCCCGTCTCCTGCCCTCCGTCTCCCTTTTACTTCTCCTCGTGCTCTTCCTCCCCCTGCTCCTCCCCTTCTCTGCCTCATCCCCACCTCTGTGCCGTCATGGTCGCGTCCGCGTGATTGTGAGCGTCGCTGGCGTCGTCTTCGTTGTCGTCCTCTCTGTCCTTCTCTCTAGTGTTTGGGGCGTTGCGTTTTTGTGGAGGTTCTCGTCGGCACGGCACGGCGCCGCGAGCTGCAGCAAAAACAGACAAGGATGGATCCCCGACGGGGTCTAGTCATAGGTACAGCCCTTCCGTTGTCGTCGGTGTCGTCGTCATTGTCGTCGTCGTCATAGTCGTCGTCGTCGTCGTCGTGCTCGTCGTCATCGTCATAGTCGTCGTCGTCGTCGTCGTCGTCGTCGTAGTCCTTTTGTTTGCGACGTTGCGATGTTTGCATGGCGTCGTATCTCCAGTTCCAGCTTTAAGGCTCCTGTCCCATCTCCGTTATATTTGGAATCGTCGTGGTTGGGGTCTGCCCTGGAGCCATATTGACGCCTCTCAGGCTCATCTTGTGGCGGTCTTGGAAGATGGTGTCTTCCATCTCCCATGAACTTGTTGTGACAGCAGCCTCCAATCCAATGGCGTCCTCAGCTTCAACAGCGTTCGCGAGCAAACATGTCCATGAAAAGCAGGAAAGCGATCGCTAACTGCAGGATCGAACGTTACGCAGGTGAGTACAGGGTCGCCGGGGCGAAACCTTTGCGAAAGAAGTGTACTACCCAAGAGGGCCCCGACCACCATTGACCCCCGCTCTTTGGGCCTGATGGATGTGCGACATTTCGACGATAGCTAGTTCGTCGACCTTTCGGGCTATTGATTCCTCAGGTTCGAGTTGACGAGTAATATACGGGAACAGCCACAGGATCTGCTTCGCATACGCAAGCGAGATGAAGTTCAGCTTGCTGGCGCAGATGGTTTGCCGGCTGCACAGCAGGCATACTTTCTCCTGCAGGGGAATGAATCGAGCGTCAATGGCATCTCGGGAAGTTCCGCGCCAATCACCCTGACGGCACCGCAGCGAATTTGGAGAGCACATGCCGCGGAGGGCAGCAGCACAGGGTGATGCCTACTGTACGGTGGACGCCGACGTGTTGCCAGCTGGCCCTCCTGCCACGCGCGGCTGCGCTGCTGCTCCTGCCGGCGGTGCGCGCGGGTGGCGCCGATGCCGCGTGGCGTGCCACCCTACGGAAGCGCTTCACTGAGCGGCCGAGGGGCGCCAGACTGATTCACGCATCGGCGAATTCGCCAGACAGCGCTGGTGGGCGCGCCACCCCCCTCGCACCCCTCCTCCTCCTCCTCCTCCTCCTCTTCCTCCTCCTCTTCCTCCTCCTCCTCCTCCTCCTCCGTGCCACTCGGCCTCTTCGCGCTTGTAAAAACAAAGGTGCTGCCCGCCGGCCCCTGACCTACGGTCAGGACCCGTCCTTGCACCCAACTGCGAACCTGAGCCAATCTAGTCCTGCTGCTCGCCGCGCTCCTCTGCGCAGACGGGCCAAGGGCTGTACGCCTGCCGCGGGCTACTTCGTCCAGGCACCCAACCCAGTGCGGAAGCTTGGCCTCGCTCGGACGTGTGCATTTTTTCATCGGCGAGGACCATCGAAGAGCACGGTTGTTCGCCTTGCGAAGAAAATTCACGCGCGAAGCCGGTCGTCCGAGCGATGGCAAGGCCCACACCCGGGGCGCCGCTCGGACCTGTCGCCGTGGACTTCCCTCCCCAGAGCTCAGGCGTCGTGATCTTGTCCAACGCGGGCCCCTGGGGGTCTGGGCCCCTTTCCCCACACCGGCCCTTCCTCCCGAGTCGTTTCATGACGATCCGGAGGCCCGCCGAGGACCCCCAGAGCCCAGAAAAATTGCACAGAACCCTTCGTTTCGGTTTTCCTAGGCCTGCTAGATGGGGTCGGAGTAGATGCGGTCGGAGGATCGCGCCGCATCGCCGATGCGTCACCGATGCGGCTCGATGTGGAGCCCAGCTTGCTTCACGTCGACGTCGTCGATGCATCGCCGACATCGACGATGCGTCGCCAGTGCATCGCCGATGAATCGCCAGTGCATCGCCGATGCATCGGCGATCGGGTGCGATCCTCCGACCCCATGGATTCGGACCCCATCCAGAAGGCCTCTGTCTTCTTCCCGCGAGGCGAGGAGTTCTGGTGGACCTCCCTCGACCCCATCCCGGAGGCCCCTATCTTTTCCCCGCGAGGCGAGGAGTTCTGGTGGGCTTCCCTCGCTCCCAGCTGCTGGACGGGCCCCACCCGGGCATGCTTCTGCCACGTGCGCGTCGGCCCCGCAATGGGGCGAGCCGCACGCTCAGACAGCTCGGAGCAGAAGCGCTGCGGCGGGCGCTCTGTGCCCATGCCGCTCGGGATTGGATGTGCTTGAAGACTTGTGCACTTCGTGCTGGTGGCGGGCGTACGTCGGAAACTGGAACATATACATTACCAGTGGCGGGCCGTTTTTCAATCCCAAGACTTTGCCAGGGTCGGGGACGACGTCGGGGTGGTGTGGTGTATACTTGTTTGTCCGTTTCCCGGGGAAACAACGAAACATGTATGCACCGGGACCCCGTATAGACCAGGATCCGTGCTCCTGTTTGCAAGTTGCAGTACAGGGCCGGAAATGCGTCGGTGAAAATAGAGATCGGCTCCCTAGTACGCCTCAATGTAGATCTCCCAGATGGGGTTGGAGCACATGGGGTCGGAGGATCGCGCCGCATCGCCGATGCATCAGGACATGGTGCTGGTGTGCACTCCTGCGTCGCACCGGAGCGGCGCTCGACGGGCGGCACGCCGCCGGCGCGAGCGCCGCCGCGCCGTCGGGGGGCAGCGCCGGCCCCCCACCAGAGCGCTGCCCGAGGAGCACATGTCGGACAAGTACGGGGTCCCGTACTACTACAACCCGGACCTCACCTGTCGACCACACGTAAGAGGTGACCCTTCGCCGGAGTGACCTTTGGTGCGGGCTCCTCGGGCTCCCCCCGATCGCCGAGCGCGATGCGATATACGCGGCCCGCGCCCTTGGGCTTGGCTCCCTCGCGCCCCCAAACAAAACTGCGCACCAAAGGTCACTCTTACCCAGGGTCACTCTCACGACTAGCCGAGTCTGGGCTGGGGGGGGGGGGGCGGGGCGAGGGCGGTGCTGGGGCCGTGATGCGGCCGGGAACTCTGGCCTGGCGTGCCGCACCGTCGGTTCTGGCCCACCACGCTGCGGCGCGGCGCGCTGTCCACGGCCGGGTCCCAAGGCGTCCACGTTTTGAGCATTTCGAAGCCTCCCTTCCGCGGCGCGGGGCTACACGGCAGCCGCTTTCAGGGCATGGCGTTTTGTCTGGGCCGCCGCGGCCGGATCTCATCCTGGTGGCGTGCCCGGGAGGGAAGCGAGAGAGGGGGCAGGCCTTCTCGGAAAGCGGCTGGGCTTCTCAGAAGGCCGCGGGGTTTCTCAGAAGCCCTCCGGCCATCTGAGAAGCCATCTCTGTCTTCGGAGAAGGCTGCGAACACTTCTCAGATGGCGAACACTTCTCAGGCTCCTTCCGAGCCTGTGGGAAGGCCCATCCCCTCGGCATTCTCCCCTTGGCTCCTCGCCGAACACCCGGGCTGGGAGGGGGGCGGTCGGGCGCAGCTAGGACCAGGATAGATGGTTTCAGGGCTTTCGGGATGCTTGCAGAGCGTTGCGATGCGCTTCAAGCAATGGCGAAGCGTCCTGGCTCGCCTAGCGGCCCACCAAATGATGTTATCAGAACCGTTTGGGGTCTGCACGAAATGTTCCCAGAACATGTCTAGCTGAGACGGTCTTGTTTTAACACATCGCGCTTATGTTCTAAGAGCATTGGTTTTGTTATTAGAGAGCATTGTGGGAGTTCCAAGAACATCTCGTGGTAGGCCTATAGGAATGCCGAGATGGTCAGTCCCTGCTTAAGCGCTTTCGGACGGCCGCGGCGCCAGCCACGTCCTCCAGAACCGCAGAGTCTCAGAGGTCCCCGATTTGTTTCCGGTCCGATGTCGTCGCGGCATTGGCTTCTTGTCACAGGCGATGTAGCACTTCTCGGGCAGAAGCATTGCAACGGCCACAGCCTCGCGGTCCAGACCCCTAGGCCGCGGCCGCGTGGACACGCGTTGTGGTTCGATTCAGATGCCGTGCAGGACCGCATCCATGCGAACGCGATGCGGAGTCCCAGGCTGTGTTCGGAAGCGGCTTCGGGCATGGGTTTGGACGCGGACTGGGACGCTGGTTTGCTGATGAGTGTTGACGTGGTTGTGGACGTCTGTTTAGATGTGGGTTTAAACATGAACGTGCACAACGGCTGAGTGTGGGCGGAGGTGTGGGCTGTAGGCGCGGGCGTGGACGTCGGTGCGGACGTGTGCGTGGACGTGTGCGGACGCGGTCAAGCGGTTCCCGAGGGTTCGGCCGCGGCTCCGCGCTTCGTACTCTTACTGACTCCGCCTAGTCGCCGCGCGCGAGGCCGCCACCTCCAAAAGTGTGTGTGGTTGTGTTTGTTTGTTTGGATCTGAGTCGTGACGTAAATTATCATGTGGATTTAACGTCGGTCGGGATGCATGTGGATTTAAACGTCGGTCGGGATGTGGTTTGCGCTCCGCACACTGAAATTTCACCGAAGGGGTTCTACACAGAGGGTGGCACCCACATTGTGTTCGAATCACGCATGCACTCTTTCACTTTTTCTCGCGGCATGAGGGCCCCCCAAGCAAGCATGGTTGCGGTTCCGCACGGATGGGTTTCCACGCAGACGGGGCTCCACACATATAAGCGGCGCAAGACATGAGGGCTCGTCTGCGCCACCACTGGCCAGAAAGGTGCCCGCGCAAGGTCGCACGTCAGCGCCCTCGCTTCCAATGTGGCGTGCCGCGCTCGCGGCCTGCGTAAGCCGTCTCGGAAGGTCCGTGTGCCATCTCGCGCAAAACCAGTTTTCGATCGTCGCGAATGTTAAGGCTCCGAACTTGTTGCATGAACTATCTCGGGCCCACGAGCTCATTCATGTAATCAATTCCCAACCATTCCGTGGTGTTGGATCCTCGTTTTGAATACGCAGCGCCCCGCGTCTCCCATCCCGCCTCCCTCTTGCCATCATCATCACCGTCGTTATTAACAGCTTCATGCTCATGCAAGATGTTATCGTCACCATCATAAGCACTAGCATCAGCATCCTCAGCCGCATCACCATCATCAGCAGCAGCATCATCAGCACCATCAATATCAGCATCATCAGCATCATCATCATAATCAGCATCATCATCATCATCAGCATCATCATCATCACCGTCGTCATCATCGTCATCACCACCAACATGAGAAGCATCATCCTCATCACCAGCATCGCCATCATCACCATCACTATCAGCATCATCAGAAGCATCAGCGACATCATCACTGCCAACATCATCATCTACACGGTCGTGAACATATCGAGCGCTCCGCCGAAGGTCCCAGTGGCAGGAACCGCATGCTTCCACAGGGAGCGCCGACGAAGGCCCCAGTCGCAGGAAACGCACGCGTGACCGCGCCCACGTCTGCACGCGCCTCACACGCCCTGTGGTCCCACAGGAAGCTCCACCGAAGGCGCCAGGTGCAGGAGTGCAGGGCCGCACCCATGTCGGCACGCCTCTCACATGTTTCGTGGTCCAGTGGGGAGCTCAACCGAAGTCCCCAGCGGCAGGAAACGCATGCGTGACCGCACCCATTTCGGTACACCATTCACACGCGTTCCGTGGTTACACGGGGAGATCCACCGAAGGCCTCAGCGAAAGGAATCGCATGCGTGACCGCACACCCCCCATACGTTTCGTGGTCTCACAGGGATCTTTGCATAAGGCCCCTAGCAGGAAACTCATGCGAGGCGCACCCAGTTCGGCACACCGTTCAGAAGCTTCGTGGTCCCATGGGAGCTCCACCGAAGGCCCAATTGGCAGGAATCGCATGCGTGGCCGCGCCAATTTCGGCTTACCCATGACACGCATCGTGGCCCCACAGTAAGCTTCACCGAAGGCCTCAGTGGCAGAAAACCGCATGCTTCAACGCGCCCAGTTCGGCACACTGCTACGGTTCGTGGCCCCACAGAGACCTCCACCGAAGGCCCCAGTAGCAGGAATCGCATGCGTGACCGCGCTCATTTCGGCACACCCCTCGCATGTTTCGTGGCCACACAGGGGGAGATCCATCGAAGGCCCCACTGGCAGGAATCGCATTCGTGACTGCGCCCATTTTGGCACACTTCTCAAGCGCTGCGTGGTCCCATTGGGAGCACCACCGAAGGTCTTAGTGGCGGGAATTGTATGCGTGACCACGCCTCGGCAAACCTCTCACTGTGCTCGCAGCCATTTTGGTAGCTCCACCGAAGGCCCCAATGGCAGGAATCGCATGCGTGACTGCGCCCATTTCGGCACTCGTTTCACACGCTCCGTGGCCCCATAGGGAGCTCCCCAGGGCCGTGCTGACCTCTTGCTGGCTTCCTCCCTTAGTTTCCACTTGTGCTGCGGTACTCCCAGCTGCATATGGTATGGTCTCGTGCTGGGCAAATGTTTTAGTTTTTCCCGCTGCTATACTTATTTCTCTTCCAGCAGAGAGAACGGAGAGAGGGGGAGGAGGGTTACAGGAGGTCTTGAAGCATTTCATCGAGTTTCCTGTGGCTTGGGGATGTGGTTCTTCAGCGCCTTGGATCGGTCCTCTCCTTCCTTCCTTATTCTCCCTCATTCTCACTCCTGTCTCTCCATCCCTCAATTCTCATCCTGTCTCCTTTTCTTTATCGTCTCCCCCGTTTTCCTCTCCTCTCCTCCTCCCTTCTCATCCCTCTCTCCTCCCTCCCTCTTCCTCCTGAGTGGGTGCCCGGCTGCACCGGGCAGTCTTCACAGATCCGTCTCATCAACCGTCTTCTCTTCCCTGCTCAATGCTCGATGGAGAGTATACGAAGGAGGATGAGGAAGATGAGGAGGAGGGGGAGGCGGAGGAGGGGCAGGGGGAGCATCCAGGGAGATTGAGGGAGGAGGAGGAGGAGGAAGTGGAGAAGGGAGAGATGCGTTTGGGTGATTTAAATCTTCCAGGGTCCTCTGGAGACATCCATGGATTTCGCAGACCTCCAAACAAATACGCAGACACCTGCAGACTCCTGGGGAGGGGGAGGGGACCAAAAGAGCGGTCTCCGTGACCCAGGCCCAGCTCAGGATCCGATCCTTCCGCTACGTTTCTGACGCTGCTCGCCGTTGCCGGTCGTCCTGGGGGTGCGGAGGCAGGACCACCCCGGGTGAGAAATGGCCCCGCTGAGGACCTCACCATCCCGTGCACTCTCCCCTGTCTGAGTGGAAGGTCTTCCGACCACGGCGGGATCCAGCGATCTCTGATAGGTTGTTTTATTCGCATGGCTCTCGCAAGCTCACTTGCAGACTATTTCCCACTCCCCCTTCGCCGCCTCTTCAAACAGCGCTGGGCCGTCAAGGCGTGCAAGTGGTTCCCGACTTGCCTGAAGTCCAGGTTTCTTTTGGGCCTCGTCACGCACCCGCCCTGTCCATTCCAGTAAACGTGCCGGGATCTAAAGTAGAATTGGCGCTAGTTGATTAGAGACTCCTCACCCTCACAGCATGCCACATTGCAGCACTGGGCCGCCCCATTGCCAGGACACTCGCGAGACCACCTGGACAAGGCCGACATGAGCCGATGTCCTGGCAGGACCTGCGGCAGGGTTGCGTGCAGATTTAGGGTAGTGGTTCTGGCGCGCCGACGTGGCGACGCCAAGCTCTGCTGGAACGGAGAAGGATAAGGGGAGAATGACGAGGAGGCCGACGAGAATGAGGATGAGGAGGAGCAGATTCGAGGAAGCGCAGACGTGGATCACGGCGCGTGGATTAGCGACGGGCCCGCTTCTATACGACATCGGCGAACTGCATGGCCAAATCGCCAAATCGTGCGGCAATGGCCCTATGTTTCGGGGGGTGTTTTCCCTGGCCCATGGATCTGGCGCCCATGCGCGAGATCGGCGGATCCGCAATCCATGCTTGCGCGTGCCCGACAGTTAGAAGGGGACGCAGAAGTCGCTGGAATGTGCTGCGCACAAGGAGGGTGAAGCGAACGAGGAGGGTCACTCCTCCCCAGACTGCAGCAGCACCCTTTGCGGCGACTGCACGGACGGAGCTTACTTAGTGTTCGGACATGCTGCCGACGCAGCTTCTGCTGAAGCAATCACATCAAGCCTCCTCCCTCCCGCCTACCATCTCTCTTACCCTTCCTGGAGCCCATTACTAGAACACCCAAGAACGCCCTTGATCCCCAAGAACCGCCATCTTCCTTCATTCTCCTCGTGCGTCCCGCACTGTGATCAGAAAGCTTGCTTGCAGCGGCGGGTTCGACCATCATCGCAGCGGCTGCGTTGGCATCACTAGCTGCGATCACGATTGCGATACGTCCAAAGACGCCGTCGTGAAGCTGATGCTGGCGCAGCGACATGTCGGACAATGCCGGGCTAGCCGGTGCCGAATGCCAGACACACCACGCACACCTTGCGCCCGCAGCGGCTGCCACGCTAGCCTCGACGTCTGCGTCTACTTTCAAGCGACACTGCTCCGACAAGTCTCACGGCAGAGAGAAACGAGCATAGATTGACATGGTCCAGTCCCAACCATCACAGCAGACACTACGGTCTACCGTGCACGCAGGGTCCTTGCACAGGCTTGATCCACCGCTGACTCAGTCACGTCGGGCAGCCCTTTTGCCAGTCAGTTTTGCCGCCAGCGTGGTTCGCTCCACCGCGACTGCTGGCGCAGTTCTTCTGCCGAGCACCTGGCCTCGTACCAGCGCAGGCCCCTGGGGCACTCGTCAGCGCTGGGGCCCCGCAGTGGCTCACATTACAGCGCCCTGCCAGGCCAGAACGACTCTCGTCTCCTGCTGCAGTGGCACTGGCCTCGAGGCCGATACACCACGCTTGCGCAAAGAAGTCATTGCCCTTGCTGCAACAGGGTGCAGCACCCCTCATTTTACGGCCGATGCCATGCCCGCTACGCCGGCCGGACAGGTCAGAGTCGTTCGACAGGTACGTGCCCGAGGTGTGGGATATCTGTTGGGAGCCCGAAGGCGCTACCTGGAGCGTGCAACACCCAGCCACCTTCCGACGGCCTACTCATCGCTTTTCATTCCCAGCCACCACCGCCTCACACCCCAGCGTTAAGCCACACGGCCCAGCGCGGCAACTGGGCGTGGGATTGCACTGGACTTGCCGGAAAGCTGCAGGATGAGATCTGTGAGGGGATGCCAGTGTCACCAGGGGAACGAAGATTGGGACCCGGCGAGAAGTGGGCCGTCTGAGCTTTTCCCCCCTCCTACTTTCGCTCGGCCGCCCTCGCTCTTCTTTCCTTCCTCTTGCATGCCGGACAATTCTCCTTTCGGTTGCCCCGATTGGCCTCACGCTGGTGCGGACTGCCTCTGCCTCGCCGCCGACGAAAAAAGTTGGGCCCAGGGCTCTCGCGGCAGACGAGGACAGTGGGCGTGTGTGAGGATCAATTTGCGGAGTCGGAGTGGGGGCGGCAGCGAGGAGTGTTTGCGTCGCAATTCGTTGGGGCGGGGGCTTCCGAGAAAGCCATGGCTCCTGGGAGGATGCCAGCCAGGGTCACGGAGGGGCGAGAAGTGGACCAGCTGTAGGAGGAGCCAAAGGAAGAGACGAACGTCAGGGGCAGGACTGTCGAGGCGGGGTGGGAGCCTGCGGAGAGGAGGCGGAGGAGCCATGTCCAGATCCGGGGTTCCGACGCGAGAGGTGGCAGGAGCCGGCGTGCCCGACGGAAGGGGCGTAGCACTCGCCGGGGGGGTCGTCTCCCACCCATGGCGCCCAGGCAAGGCCATGGAGCTGTTTCCTCGAGCGGGGAGCCGCTTCGACCGAGGCAGTGACTGCAGATGTTGAGGGGCCACCTCTGTCGGTCAATGCCTCTGTGTGCTAACGTTAAGTCGGGCCTGTCCCCCGACAGGGGGGATGTTCAAAAATAGAGGAACAATAGACCGGGTGTTTTTTTGTTGACATATTGGGGCATCCTTGGAGTATTTTCGGAGTATGTTTCATTCTTCGTCGGAAATCCCCCTGTAAGGGGACAGGCCCGACTTAATCCTAACGTCCTAACCCTCCAGCCGTCCTCCGATGCTGTATTGAATACTTGCGGATCGTCTGGAGAGCGCCATCGACAGAATGTCGCGAAGGAAGTGGGGTGAGCGGACACTGGATGCCACGGGGATGCAGGCGCGCTTATCGTCACGCGTCGGCCATACAGGCAGCGCCAGAGCGATTGTATAAAAAAGGCTCTGTCGCGTCGCTGCACATGGTCCGCAATGAAGTGGCGCTGGAAATATTTCCGATGAGTGCGCAAAAGCGGCTCAGGCTGTTTGTTTACGTGGTTTTCCTTTGCAGCGGTCTGAGCAGGGAAGCACGCCTTGCGCAAAGCAACTATTGGACAGTGTTTGCGTGTACATACCTGCACCAGGGCAGTGCAGGGTGATGTCCAGACTGCGCATGTGATGGTGGGGGGCACGAGCTTAGAACTGCGTCGGCGCTGCTGCTCGTACTGTTGAGCATGCCGCATAGTCGAAGACATGCCATGTGCACCCTCGACTGGTGTGGCGCAATGCTGATCATATGTTAGTAGAGAGGACCGGTTGCTGCCCTGTTGGGAGAAGCGTTGCAGCTTGCAGGGTGCGTATGTGCACGTGGTCTGCATGATGATAGATAGCACCGCGTATACACTTGAATCACTTGCTGAGGCTTAGGGCGCATTCATGGGCTATGATTCAGACATATCCCTGTCGATGTCCCGCAGTCCAATTCAATTGATCATGGCTGCCTCTATGTGTCCTCTCGGCTGCCCCATGGCCGTATAGCATAGCTCGTGGTACGTAGCAAACAGCACCGCACATCATAGCGCAGTGTGCCATGCGGCAGCGCAGCATACAGCGAACCGCTGCAATAATCAGGCGGGGCCCTGGTTCTCGCGCCGTTCTTTTACATCTGGGTCGGAGAACCTATTCGTAGCCGAGGCTTGCCGCGACCAGAAAGGCGCCTTCGTTACTCGTCCAGCGTTCTTGATGGTAGCGCGAGGACTGCAGTACATTGGGCCACGCGGCGGCGCAGCACAGGACAGGGCCGCATGGAATGAGGGCACCGCCGCCGTGCTCGCGAAGACTGCCGCCGGGCTGCTCGGGCTCAAAGCAGCGGGTGCCGAGCCCTTTACACACGCTGGCCCTTCGCGCCGCAGCCGTTGCCGGTTTCCACCCCCCCCCCGCAGTGTCAGACCTCCGAGCGCGGGCGAGGAGAACATCCGTATCCACGGCCTCGTGGGCCGGGCTCCTGCGCCGCGACCCTGTGGATACGGGTCGTTTTTCCCCGGATTCCCCGCGAAGAATGTATCCATGCGACCGCGTATCCACGGGGTCGTACCTCGGAGCCGGATACGTTCGCCGCACGTGGTCCAACGCCCCGAACAAAAATCACCACGGGGGCTTGTCGCAATGTTTGGACTCCCGGGGGCCGTTCTGGGTCCTGGAACCGCCAAGCGCGATGTACAGCGGCACGTTGGCCTTGGAGAGTTGGTCGACAGCCCAGTGGCCACATATCCAGTTGGGTGTTGGCAGTTCGTTGAATTCCCCCGGGACCCCCCCCTTTGGAAGGTTATTTTTTTTTGCAGTTGCTCGAGTGTTTTCCGGGGGGAACCCTTCAACTCGGGTTGTTTTTTTATGTTTTCTCGGGGGAATCCCCAGCCGGGAAAGGGGAAACGCCCGCAAAACCTCCCAACTCGAGAGTTTTCTATGTTTTTCCGGGAGGGGAAACCACAAAAAAAAACATTCAATTCGGGATTTGTTAGAGAATTTGCTGGATGTCTTCCCGGGGGGGGGGGACCACTGAAAAACTCCCCAACTCGAGTTTTTGCGGGCGTGTTCGGGTGTTTCCCCAGGGAGAGGAACCCCGAACATCTTCCCAACTCGGAGATTTATCGACGAGCTGTTCGGAGGTTTTCCGGGAGGGGAGGGAGCCCCGAAAAGATCCAACTCTGGGGTTTTTCATTGTTTTTTTATGGTTTTCCGGGGAGGGGATCCCTTGAAAAATCCGCCAATTCGGTTTTTTCTTGTACCAAAAAATACCCGCGTGATTTTCACGGACGGGGGGAACCCCCGCTGGGGGTGTTTTTTTCTGTGTGTTTCACAAGTTTAGGGGCCCTTCAATTCAAAGGCCCTTCAATTAAAAACAAAAACTATTTCAGAACTCCCCCGGGAAACCATTGAAAAAACCCTTAACCCGGGAGTTTTTTTGCCGGAAGATTTCCGAGGAGTTTTCCGGGAATGTTTCAAGTGTTATCGTGGGGTGGAAAAAACAATAATTTCCCAATTCATGGTTTTTGTTTGTGTTTTGTCCTGCAAGTCTGGGGCCCCACAATGAAAAACAATATACTTTCAGAAGACCTTTCGGACCCCCCCTGAGAAACTTCCCAACTTCTTTGTTCTTTCTTTTTTTGGGTCTGGAGTTGTCTTGGGGGAACCCAAGAAAAAACATAACTCTGGGCTTTCTTCCGGTTTTTTTCACTGGTGTTCTTCTGGGGGGGGGGATTTCCCCGAAACACTTTCCACATCGCAAGGTTTTCAGTTGTTTGTCTGCGGTTCTGGGGCCCCACAATTCAAAACAAATCTATTTGAGAAAACCTCTTGGGAAACGTCCAACAAACAAACCTCCCACCTGTTGTGTGTTGTATATGTATACATATATATACATATATATATGGATGTAAATGTATGTATATATATCTACACATATATACATATGTAAAGAACCGGTGGTTTCCAGCTGGGGGGAGCAACCGAACAAAAAAACAACTCGGAGGTTGTTCGTTTGTTTTGAGTGTTTTCCTGGTGCTTTTCCGGAGGGGAGCCCTTGACAATCCGTTCAATTCGGGTTTCTTGTTTCGGATATGTTTCGGTGATTTTTGGGCCCCAGAATATAAAACAAAATCTCGTTGGAAATCTCCCAACTCGGGGATTGTTGGGGGGGGTTCATAGGTTTCCCCGGGAGGGGGAACCCCCGAGCAAAAGCCCAACCCGTTTTTATGTTTGTATGTGTTATTATGGACTTCTAGGGCCCCACACTGACAAACAAGACTATTTCAGAAAAATCCCCGGGAAACCCCCGAGTGACGTTCCAACTCGTTTTTTTTTGTTTGTTTTCTATCAGGGGTGCGGGGGGGGGGGGGGGCGCAATTCAAAACAATGTTATTATTATACCCCCCCTCCCGGAGACCACAGAAAAAAAGAAACACACTCCCAATTCTTGGTTTTTATGTGTAGGTTTTTCTGTGTTCCTTTTTCCTTTCTTTCAATCAGAAATGTGGTTGTTTCAAAATGTCGGTTTCCGCAAATCCACCCCGAGCGCCCCAAGCTCCCCCCACCCCCAGTATCCAGGGGAACTACAGAAAACAAAAACCCAAATTCGGGGGCCAGAAATTCTTGAAGAATCCTCCAACTCTCGTGGTTTTCGGGAGGTTCTGGAGCCCTACCCTGCAGATGTTGTGTTGCCCCCCTGGAAAACCCAACTTAAAAACAAGACTAGTTATAACAACCTCTCAGAAAGCATCCGGAGCAACACCCAAACTCGATGGTGTTCCTGTTGTTGTTCTAAGATTTTCTGGCCAGCCCAGGCTCCAGGATCCTCCGGGGGGGGGGACGATGGAAAAAAATCCAATTCGGAGGGTTTTCGGTGGGTTTTCGGGGGTTCTCGGGTCAGCCCAGGCTCCCAGATTTTTTTTTTTGGGGGGGGGCACAATCGAAAAAAACCTTCGGGGGGTTCTGGCAATGAAGCTCCCGTTACTCAACAGCTCCCGTCTCCAACGCAACACCCAGTACTCGACAGCATCCCGCATCAAGAGAGACTCCTCAGGAGTTTTGTTCAAATCCCGATCCGCCCGCCCGCCGCCCGCCCGCCGTGTCTATACGTTCGAGACATCACCCAGTACTCGACAGCGTCCGTTTCCAATACAACACCCAGCACTCGACAGCTCCCGTTTCCAACACAACACCCAGTTCTCAACAGCATCCTGCTGGAAGAGAGACGCCTCAGGAGTCTGTTCAGATCCTGATCCGCCCGCCCGCCCGCCGACGGCCCGCCCCCCGTCGCCCGTTCGCCGTGCTACCGCGTTCACCACAACACCCAGAGCTCAACAGCGTCCGTCTCCAACATAATACTGGTCACTCAACAGCCCCCGTCTCCGACAGAACACCCAGTTTTCAAGAGCATCCCGCTGCAAGAGAGAGACCTTCTTGGATTTTCTGTCAAATCCTGATCCGCCCGCCGCCCGCCCACCCGCCAGCCGCTGCCCGTTCGCCGTGTTTCTTCGTTCAACACAACACCCAGTATTCGACAGCGTCCGTCTCCAACACAACACCCAGTACTCAACAACCCCCGTCTCCAACGGAACACCCAGTATTCAACAGCATCCCGCTTCAAGCGAGACTCCTTAGGAGTTCTACTGAAATCCCGATCCGCCCGCCGCCCGCCCGCCCGCCCGCCCGCCACTCGCCAACCCCCCCCCCGTTCGCCGTACTTCCGCGTTCAACACAGCATCCGGTAGTGAACAATGTCTGGCTCCATCACAACACCCAGTATTCAAGAGCCCCCGTCTCCAACGTAGCACCCAGTACTCAACAGCATCCCGCTGCAAGAGAGAGTCCTTAGGAGTTCTTTTCAAATCCCGATCCGCCAGCCGCCCGCCCGCCCGCCGCCCGCGCTCGCCGCCCTCCCGCGGTGCTCCGGCGTTTAAAACAACACCCAGTACTCAACAACGCCCGTCCCCAGCACAACACCGGGTACTCAACAGCTTCCGTTTTCAACACCACACCCAGTATTCAACAGCATCCCGCTGCAAGAGAGAATCCCCAGGTTTTTTTTTTTTTTTTTTTCAGATACCGATCCGACCGCTCACCGCCCGCCCGCCGCCGGCACGCTGCCTTTCCCCAGCCGCCCGCCCGCCGTGCTTCCGTGTTCAACGCAGCATCCAGCACTCAACAACAGCAGTCTCCAACACAAAACCCAGTACTGAACAGCTCCGCTCCCGTCTCCAACACAACACCCAGTACTCGAGAGCATCCCGCTGCAAGAGAAACGTAGTCCTTGGGAGCTCTGTTGAAATCCCGTTACGCCCGCCCGCCCCTCGCCCGACCGCCACCCGACCGTCAGCCGCCACCCGCCGCCCGCCCGCCGTGCTTCCGCCAACTACTCGACAGCTCCCGGCCCCAACACAACACCCAGTATTCAACAGCATCCCGTTGCAAGAGAGATTCCTGAGGAGTGTTGTTCAAATCTCTATCCTCCCGCCGCCGGCCCGCCCGCCCCCCGCCGCCCGTTCGCCGTGCTTCCGCGTTCAACACAACACCATTTGCCCAACAGCGCCCGTCTCCAACACAACACCCAGTATTCCACAGCATCCCGCAGAATGGGAGACTCTTTAGGAGTTCTACAACCCCCCGAGTAAGAAGTCCGGACCGCAGAGGTCGCGGAAAGTTAGCGTTGAGCGTGTCCAGTAAGGCCGCGGGGCCCCAGTACAATGTTGTCGAGACCGCCATGGCGGATTTCCGATTCATGCCTCACCCCCTTTTAATATTAGAATCGCCAAATGGGGCGACGATCAGAAATTCGCATTCCGCCCAAGATTTCCCTCGAGGAAATTTCTGATCGGGTTCCAGAGGACCTGCAATTTTCAGGGGCGATCGGAAATGTGCGATTCCGATTGAGACTTCCTCGCAGAAATAATATAGTCCGGCTTATGATGCTTGGAAGCAGCCTCATTCTTTGGAAGATTCTGCAAAGCGCGTTGATTTGTCTCGACGCGCGCGATTCTAAACAGAATTTCTTGGTTCTGGTGATCGATGCTTTGCGGTGCTGTGCTGTTGTTCAGCGCGCGGTGTTGTCTTGGGTTCGTCTTGGAGGCCATGTCCGAAATCGGGAGCCGAAGATCCATCACGGGCCAATGCTCCAGATACAATCCGTGAGCGAGGACGCAAGGGGCCATGTAGGGCCGATCCGGACTTTTAAACCCAGGAGGTGGTACTAAAATCCCGATCCGCCCTCGCCCGTTCGCCGTGCTTCCGCGTTCAACGCGCATCCAGTACTCAACAATGTCTGGCTCCAACACAACACCCAGTACTCAACTGCTCCCGTTTCCAACACAACACCCAGTACTCAACAGCATCCCGCGCAAGAGAGACTTCTTAGGAGTTTTGTTCAAATCCTGATCCGCCCGCCGCCCGCCCGCCTGTCCTGACCGCCGCCCGACCGCCGCCCGACCTCCGCCGCCCGCCCGTCATGTGTCCGCGTTCAACACAGCATCCAGTACTCAACAACGTCCGTCTCCAACACAGGGCCCAGTACTCAGCAGCTCCCGTTTCCAACACAACACCCAGTACTCAACAGCATCCTGTTGCAAGAGAGCAAGAATCTCTAGGAGGTCTACTAAAGTCTCAATCCGCCCGCCCGCCGCCCGCCCGTCCGCTGCCCGCCCGTCCGCTGCCCTCCCGAACAACCATTGCAAAAACCGAGCGTTGGGAGATGTTCCTGAGGTTTCCAACGGGATTTCAGAACAAGGTATGTTTTTTTAAAGTGTATGGCCCCAGATCCCGTGAAACCAACTAGGACCATTCTTGTTGTTTTTGTTTCTTGGAGTGGTCTACAGGGTTTCAAGGTATTGTTTTTCTATAAGAAATGTGCTCCCCCCCCAGAGCAACACAGAAAAGTGTAGCATCACCGAGTTTGTTTTTTTGTCTTTGGGTTTCCCGACAGGTTATCAGACATAATGTTGTTTTTGATTGCGGGGCCCCAGAACACCCGAAACACCATAGGAAACAAAACATAGTTTGGGCTTTGTTTGCGTTTTTTTGTTTTATAATGCGGGGCCCCAGAACCACAGACAAAACAAAAGAAGCCACCCGAGTTGCTTTTTTTGGTTCGGGGGTTGTCCGGGGGGTCTGTGTTGTTTCAATTGTGAGGCCCCAGAACCTCCGACAAACCACCGAACAACTTCCGAGTTGGGAAGTTTTTGAAGGGTTCCCCCCTACGGAAACATACCCGAGAACGCATCGAACAACCACAGAAACAAAAAAAAAAACACGAGTTGAGTTGTTTCTGTGGTTTCCCGGGGGGGGGTCTGAAATAGTGTTCTTTTTTAATTAATTGTGGGGCCCCCGAACCCTTGAAAAAGCACCGAGCAAACTCCTGGGTTGGGGTGTATTTCTGTTGTTGTCCAGGGGGTCCTCAGACATAGTATTGTTTTCACGCGTGGGGCTCCAGAACCTTTCGAACAAAATGACGAACATCTTCCGAGTTGGGAGGTTTGTTCGGGGGTTGTCCGGGAGGTTTTCTAAAATCATGTTGTATTTAGTTATGGGGCCCCAGAACGTTTTAAGGAAATACGGGAAGACAACCAAACGAAGCAACAAACATAAGAGTTGGGAGGTTGTTCGGGGATGCCTTTTTTGTTTTTTCCTTGGGAAAAATAATGTTTTTAATTATGGGGCCCCAGAACTCCAGAGCCCCCCAGAAAACAGAGTTCGGAGTGTTCCGGGGGCATCCCAGGGGGTCATCCGAAATACGTTGTTTTTAATTGCGGGGCCCCAGAGCCCATAAAAATATATAAAACAATAACTCCAGAGTTGGAGGGTTTCCCATGTTTTCTAGGGGGGTCAAACATATCATTGTTCTTTTGTTCTGGGGGGCCAGAACCTTCGAACAAAAACACGGCACAACCTTAGAGTTGGGGGGCTTTTCGGAGGTTCCCCCGCCCCGAAAAGTTTTTCGAATGACCAGAGGTTTTTCGCGGTTCCATCCCCCTTCCAAGCAATTCTTGAAAAAAATTGAAGCACATTGTCGGGTTGGGAGTTTGTTTGGGGGTTGTCTGGGAGTGTCTTTAGACATAGTTTTGTTTTCAATTGTGGGGCCGAGAAAGTTCCAAATTTCCAAAAGACATTCGGGTCGTGGAGCTTCCCCGGGGGATTTTCAAAAATAATATTGTTTTTGATTGTGGGCCCCCGCGGGGTTCCCGGGTGGGTTTCAAACATAATATTGTTTTCAAGTGTGGGGCCCCAGAATCTTTGAAAAACATGTTTGAAACAACGACCCCGTTTGGAGGTTTTTCAGGGGTTCCCCCTCCCAGCAAAGCCGCCGAGAAACATCCGACAATTCTCTGATAACAGAAAACATATTCGGGGTTATTTAGGAGGTTTCCCGGGGGGGTTCTGAAGTAGTTTTGTGTTTCATTGCGGGGCCCCAGGACCCTCGAAAACCAACCGAACAAATTTCGAGTTCGGAGGTTTTTCGGGGCGTCCCCCCTTTCGGATAACACATCAGAAGAACCTTTTGAAGAAAATCCGGACAACCCCCTGAAAAACCCTCGAGTTGGAAGGTTTCCCGGGAAGGTTTCTTTAAGTGTGGGGCCCCAGAGCCCTTGAAAACACACAGAACAATTCCCGAGTTGTTTTTTATGGTTTCCCTCCAGGAATAATTTCAGAAGAACAAGCGAACAAAAACCCGAGTTGGTCTTGATGTTCGGAGGTTCCCTTCCCCAGAAGCATGTGAAAAAAACTCCCGAGTCGAGTTTTTGTTCTAGAAGGTCCCCCCCCCCCGGAACAACCCATGAACAATTTCAGGAACAAATCAAGGTTTTTTTTTCAGGGGGTCCCCCCCAGAAAACTTCAGAAACAATTTCAGAATACAAATCCCGAGTTAGGATGATTTTTCGAGGGTCCCCCTCCTGGAAAAAAACACCAACAAAAAACCCGAACAACCCCCGAGTTGGGAAGTTTGTCAGGGGTTTCTCCTTCCGGGAAAATCCAAGACACTTTTTTTTTTAGAATTGAAATGAAAAAAAAAAAAAAAAAAAAACACCGAGTTGGAGGGGTTCCGGGGGGGGGGGGTGGCCGTCGGGGGGGGGGGGGGGCCCGAATGGCTATTTGAAGGCGTTTGCCCGATCGCTCCCAGGACCCCCCGTCCATTCCGAAAAACACCTAATAGTATTGTTGTTTTCTCTGGGTATTTTCTGTGGTTGTTATGTGGTTTTGGATTTATAATTGATTTTGCCCGGAAGTAGTATTGTATTTGAAGTGTTGGGCCCCGGAACCCCTCCAAAAACCCCCAAGTTCCCCCCCCCGGGGATCCGGGGGGAAATGACACATAACAAAACACAGTGGTTTTTGTTTAGGATTTCCTGGGGGGGTCCCAGGGAACTCCCACACCCGTCTCCACATATCAGCAGGCAGGCATGCATAATATACATAGTCTCACAGGGTTCGAGATCGCCGTGCTAGCGTTCAGACACGCTCCAGAACGGCATCCTCCAGACCAGCAGGTTCCCAGAGATCCCAAGCTATCTCTGCTAGACTTTGTGTTCTTGTTGCCGACGTCTTTCGGGGGCCCCCAGCCGGTGCGGTGACCAAACCGTTTGGTGAGTCAGTGGGGATTCGTGGTGACCGCACGGTTTTGGGACGTCGGCCGTTCTCCGAGGATGTCTCGGGCGATCGGGGCTCCCAGGGTTCAAAAATGGTGTGATGACGGACCGTGCGGTGAGGTTTTTGGTGATTTTGAGGTCACCGCACGATGCGTCACAGCACCTTTCTCGGGTGTTGCCCAAGGCGTCCTTGATCCAAGGTGCCCCCAGGATGTCCGGGGAGGCCCAGATGGCTTCCAGAGTGCTCCTCACAGGGCCCAGGGGGCCCCAGGGGCCCCACAGTGGCGCGAAACGCTGGGAACACCTTGGGCCAGGACCATTCCTTGCAACATTCGACGTTCGAGGACCCACAAATCTGGGACCGAAAGAGGCACGCTGCTGGAGGTCTGGACCACCGCAGCCCCAGTCAGAGGCATGGCGTTCCGCGTCGCGGCGCTGCTGCTGCTCGCCACCGCCGCCGTGGCGGACCCGGCCGTGCGCGGCACTCGCCGGAGTCAGAAATTCAAGCGTGAATGAGGCAGTGCGTCTTGAGATTCTGAATGTTTTTCGCATGGAGGGGGGGAGGGAGATGGCGCGGCGAGGCCCGGAAGGAAATCTGGATTTCACGCAAGTCGGGACTCACTTGCACGCTTTTTCGGTCCAGATGAAGGGGAGGGGGGGGGGAAATGCCATGCAAGTCAATTCGTCTGAGTCGGAAGAGAAGTAACCTCAACGTGTTTGGCACCTCCTCCTCCTCCTCCTCCTCCTCCTCCTCCTCTTGTCCATCAGGGGTAGGGGGGGGGGGACATGCTCAGGGGTGGGTGGTGTATTGACCCCGAAGCGCCCTTTCATCGCCGACAGGGGCCCGATCGCTCACTCGGCTCAGGAGAGCGCGGAGCTCTTCTCGGAGGCCTGTTGCCGATCTGGCGGCGATGTGTCGCCGATTCCAGTGCGATGCTCCCCCCCGCCACCCGAGCTGGTCCTCCCCTCGTGCAGCGTCCCCCCTCGGAGGATGGAGGGACTTGGCGTCGCTCGGACGTGTGCATGTTCCTCTCGGCGAGGACCATCGAGGAGCATCCTTGATCATCGCGCCGAAACAAGCACGCACGAAACCGACAAATGCACGGGGAATGGACGTCCGAGCGATGGCGAGGAGGTGGCAAGAACGCCGGACAGCCTCCTCCTTAGACCTTCATGCGTCGATGGGGCGAGGCCTCCACGAGGATGAATCGCTCCAAAGCGCGCTGGAGCCCTCTGGAACAGCCGTGGCGCCCGACACGTCCTCCAGGATGTTGGATCGCAAAGATCCCCGATGTACCCCGATTCGATTTTGACCCGTTTCTGGTTTCCGCTTCGAATCTTGTAGTACGGCGGCGACGACGTCGACGACGAGCTCCTCGCAGGCGCGGCCGCCGCGGGGGCGCTCGCCGACGCCGCGACCGGCGAGCGGGTCAGGGAGGAGACCGACGTCACCTCTGCGGGCGCGTCCGAAGCGGGCCGTGGACGTGTGCGTGCCCCGGGATGATGATGTTTATGTTGATGGCGATGATGTTTATGTTGATGACGATGACGATGACGATGACGATGACGATGATGATGATGATGATGATGATGATGATGATGATGACGATGATGATGATGATGATGATGATGGTGGTCATGATCATGACCATGGTCATGGTGGTGGTGGTGATGCTGATGGCTGTGATGCTAATGGTGATTTTTGGTCATGAGCATTCAGATGATGATTGTGATGCTGTTGGTGATGATGACGCTTGTGATGACGCGTATGATGATGACGATGATGAGGATGGTGACGACGATAATGATAATGGTGGTGATGATGGTGATGAGAATACTGATGTGAGAGATACTGATTGTGATGATGATGGTACTGATTGTGATGATGATGATGATGATGATGATGATGATGATGATGATGCTGCTGAGGGTGATGCTGCTGATGATGACTCTGTGATGATGCATCATGGGGGTGATGATGGTATGTATTCAGTTAATGATAAGCTGCATGGTGAAGATGCTGATTATGATGCGACTGACGACGATGCTGCTGCTGGTGATGACGATGAAGGTGATGCTGCTGGTAATGATGGTGGTGAAGCTGATGATGCTGTTGACGACAGTGATGGTGATAATGGTAATGATGAGGAGGATGAGGATGAGGATGATGATGCAGATGATGTTGTTGCTGGCGACGAGGATGCTGATGCCGGTGACGATGACGATGTCGATGACGATGTTGATGATGGTGATGGCGATGTTGATGGTTATGGCGATGTGGATGGTGATAAGGATGGCGGTGGCGATGATTGTGACCAGGTGATGATGGTGATGTCGACTTGATGATGATGGCGATGGTGGTGGTGATGATGATTGCGATGGTGATGGTGATGGTAATGCTATTTGTGATGATATAATCGTTGGTAATGATGACGGTGGCGACGACGATGATGATAATGATGATGATGGGGGGAGGAAGAGGAGGGAGGGAGCGGAGGGATGCCGATGAGGATAAGGATGATAAAGAGAAGTTGGCGCTAGTTTCACCTTCACCCTTCCCCTCGATCTTGTCGCGGAGGTCCCTGGGATGCGGTGCGCTTTGTGGAGCTCGGGCATCCCCCTCTTGCCCACTTGATGCTGGTGTTCGGGGTGTTCGCTCTGTCTGCGAGCTGCGCGACGAGATAGAGCAGCAGGTGGACGCAGCAACAGGTGGTGAACCCCCTCCTGGCCTTCGCGTTCCCTCCAGGGCTTCGGCATGGTGGCAAACTCACCAAGACATCGAAAGGACGTGGCAACTCGTCTTGCTCCCATTCGCGCGGCGCCTCGGCAGCCTGTTGCACTGCCACCCCACCCTACGGGGGGTCGGCTCTCCCCGAGGTGTTTTTTTGTTCACAAAGGTGTGATGCGTCTGCTAATTCTGGTGTTAGGCTCGCGGCACTTTGCGTTTGTTTTGGTGTTCGACTGTTTCTCACACGGGTCATGGGCTTCTTGGTACGGCCTCGATCGCATGGTATGGCACCGCTACCCGACAAGATAAAAAGTGGTGGTTGGGCTCTGTGTTTCCGCATCCTGGCTTTCATCTTAAATGTCACGGCTTTCTTGAAGTTCAACGTTGATGCAGGTGGTGGGTGTTTGTGGTGGCGGAGGGGGAGGGGGCGAGGGCGGAGCAGGGCGGGAGGAGGGATAGGCGGGAGGAAGGTTGCGCAATGTAGGGAGCTCGGGCGCTGGCGGCATATCCAGCCCGCCTGGGGAGCTCCGGACGGGGCCCTGCCTTCGAGGAGCAGAGGGGGTTGGCATTTTTCCTCGTGGCAGAAGCTACACCAACATGCCCAAGAAACGTGCATTTGGGGGTTCAGGATGTCTGGAACCCGCCGCCCCCGCCTCCCCATCGCCAGTCTGCTCCGCCCTCCTGGCGTGTGCAGCCGACGCTCGAGCAGCCCGCTGGTTTGCCGCAGCGGGCCATTCTCGACTCGGCCGCCGCATCGCCCGCTGCGCGCCCGCGGCGGTCCGGCGGGCATTGGCAGGACACGGCTGAGGGGGCGGGGGAGGAGGAGGCTTGGTATCGCTCGGACGTGTGCACTTTTTCTCGGCGAGTATTCTTAAGGAGCAGCCTGGATCATCCTGCGAAAAAAAACACGCACGGAACTGGGAAAAGCACGGGGAATGGACGTCCGAGCGAAGGGGAGGAGGAGGGAGTAAAGGGGCGAGATTGAGGTGGAGGAGGGGGAGGGGGATGGCGTGCGAGGGAGGAGGAGAGGTGGGAGGAGGAGGAGGAGGAGGAAGAGGAGGAGGAGGATGAGGAGGAACAGGAGGAGGACGGGAGAGGATGAGGAACTGGGAGGTTCAGAGTCGAGTGAGAGGAGAGGCAGTGGACAAGACGGCGAGCGCGAAGAGGAGGACGAAAGAGAGGACCCGGGGGAAAAAGGAGCAGCAGGAGGAAAAACAGGAGGAGGAGGAGCAGCAGCGGAGGACGGGCGAGAGGCCATCCCGAAAGAGCAGGAGGAGGAGGACGACGAGGAGGAGGAAGACGAGGCGGAACGGCAGCCAGGGAAGGAGGGGAGGAGCGGCGGGAGCGGCGCGCCTCAAGGCCGTGGACGCGCCGCAGGCGGTGGAGCTGGGCAAGACCGAGACCGTGAACCCGTACATGACCAACGGGGCCACGGCGGAGGCGTCAGCGGCCCGATGCCTCTGATCCTCCCAGCGTGGTTTTCGGGATGCGGATCCTGCCATAGATAAGCGCACATTCGTTCCAAAAGGTGCAGCGGCTTCAAGGGTGCAGGGGGGGGGGTCAAAATGCTGCTCTCGCCGTGAATGCCGTGCTCAGTTTAGAAACACGTGTGGAACAGCTTCAAGGGTGGGTGTTGAAGATGCCACTCACGCCCACTCCAGAGTCGCGAACATGTGCCTTACAAGTTTGCAGCAGCTTCTGGGATGAAAGCCAGGCGGCGTTCAAGAAGCCGCTCTCGCCACAGTGCCGCGCACACTCGTTATCAACGCCTGTAGCACCTTCAGGGATCGGTGGCAGACCCGTTTCAATCAAAACGGGACTACGTACCGCCGTAGTTTCTGCGCACTCGTTCCGAAAGTGCACAGCTGTCTTCTCAAGAAGGTTCGCTCTCGCTGGAGACTGCAGCGGGCTTGCGCAACATACCAGAGAGGCCGGAGCACGCGTGCGAGTTGTCTGCACGGACGGAGGGCGGTCCTCTGTTCCCAAATGGGACTTTCGCTCGGGGCTCCGGGTGCTGTTGGCAGCCTGCGCGCCGCTGCGCAGCAGCAGCGCGGGTGAGGGGAAGCGGCCCATCAGCGAACGAGGCGACCCCGCCCCTCCGCATCCGGATCATTCGCCAGAAGGATGTGGGCCAGGTCTGGTTCCCATCGGGGCTTCCGCCTGCCTGCCTGGGACCCCCCAGGGGTGTACTTCGTAAAGTGACGGTGAAGGCATGTATGGGGCTTACATATGAGGAGGGGGCTCGGGACGGGGGTGGTGCGACGCATCCTGGATATCCTCTATCCTCATTCTCCCCCATCTCTTGTGCATTGCACAGACCTTGATCGAAGCGACGCCGCGTCTGAACGCTCGTGCTGACACAAATCACGCGCGAACGCAAACTGGTAATACGGGCAGCGCGTGCACGACATCATAAGAAGGGCAAGTCTTGGTGGGAACGTGGGAAGGTCCGAGGGGAACAGAGGAGCGCACCACGGCAAGATTGATTTCCGAGCACAGCCACCACCACCTCCTCCTTCCCCCTCACCACCCCCTCCGTCCCTCCTCCCATCCCCTCTTCTCTCCTCAAGCACGCCTCTTGATGCTGCGTCCAACGTTTCACCTTCGCCGCCAGCGTTGCCCGTCATGGCAGGCCTGTTTCACAATTTCGCCGTCCCTCCGAGTGGGGCGTGACGTTTTCGGGCGTCCGATCGGACCTCGGCCCTTTGCCCCCTTCTGCATCTCCTCCCCCACCTTCTCCCCCTTCCTCGCCAGAACTCCGGGACATCTCCAGAAGCATCCGAAGACCTGCCTTGGAGTGCCCCTCTGGCCAGGACACCGAAGCGAATCCGGCCGCGGATGCAAGGACCTTTTTGGAGGTCCGAGTCCCCTCTTTGTGGTCCTCCTTCTGGTCCTCCCCCTCCTCCTCCTCCACCTCCTCCTGCTCATCCTAGGTAGTCCTCCTGCTCCTGCTCCTCCTCCTCCTGCTCCTCCACCTCCTCCAGCACATCCTACTGCTCCTCCTCCTCCTGCTCCTCCCTCTGTCCCCCCCCTCCCCTTCTCTTGCGAGCGAGGAGAGGGAGAGGGAGAGGGAGGAGGAGAAGGAGAAGGAGGAGGAGGACGAGGAGGAGGAGGAGGACGAGGACGAGGAGGAGGAGGAGGAGGAGGAAGAGGAGGAGGAGGAGGGTGAGCAAGAGAATCCAGACGACGAGTTCGATTGTGTGACGAGGAGGAGGAGGAGGAGGAGGAGGAGGAGGAGGAGGAGGAGGAGGAGGAGGAGGAGGAGGAGGGGTGGGCTGGAGGGCTGCGGGATCTCATGGGTTGGATCTGCCCTCCTCCCGGAGGCACTCTTCGCCCTCTTCAGCATGGTGGCCCTCATGATCTGCTGGATCGAGTGCTGCAAGGTCGCCAAGTGAGCCCGCCACCCCGCGGGCCCTCGTCGGCGCGCCCTGGCCTCCTGCCCCCCCAGCGCTGCAGGGGCGCTTTGAGGTCCTGGCAGGGACGCTCCGGGGCAAGGCCAGGTGCACCTCCTGGATTGCCAAAGGTGCCCCAGGCCCAGGGTGCCCCCGGCTGTTCGCGGCATTTTGGACCCCCCCTTGGGTCCTTCTGGGCCTCGTGATGGGGTGCTCCATGGAGGCCGCTGGGTCTCCCTAGAGGCATCTCGGGGGCACCTTCGCCCAGGCGCACTTCTGGCAGCTTCCGAGCCTTCTTTGGGAGGAGGGCCCGTGGAGACAAACGGCGGCCCTCCGCCGCCTGATGGGGGCGCCTCGCGGTTCCAGCAGCGGCTTGCGCGGGTTTCGCTCAGTGCGCCGCCCTCGGAAGTTTTTGTCCGTCGCCGAAGCCCCGCGTTTTCCCAAGCTATGGTAGTTCGTCTCGCACCCTGGAGCGAAAAAAGACCGCCGCTGGCTGACGCCATGAGACAAGAGGAGGATAGGGAGCGATGAGCCGATGAGGGGTGGTATGAGGGCGAGGGGAAATGCCAAGGATGGTAGAGGGCAAGTGGAAAAAGGGAGGAAGAGGATGACATCAAGGGCGATGGGGGAGCGAGGGAACACGGTGGAGGGGGAATAACGAACGTGGAGCAATGATGAACAACGCGGGAGAGGGAGGAAGAGGCACGACGAGGGGGGGGAATAGGGAATCTGACCATGTGAGGGGAGGAAAAGAGAGCATCGGGCAGCTAGGCAAGCGGTCGAGCATTCCCGTGGCAGCAGGACCCTAAACATGTCTGCGTTCCGCAGTCACGCGCTGCGAGACCGAGGCGCAGAAGAGGATGCATCTGCCCTCTGCAGCAAGACTACAAGAACAGTGCACAGGGGCGGGGATGAAGAGCAGGGGTGAGCATGGGGAACATGAGGGAGGAAGAGTGGGGGAGGGAAGTGCGAGGGGCTTGGAGGCAGACTCTGCAGGGATCCATACGGCTCGACGAGGGGGGGGTCCCTAATGGGCTCTGGGATGGGCTGCAGGTCCCAGGCATAACAGTTATTGTGTGAAGAGATGTAGCGACTCAGAATTACACGATTCAAGAGCTACGTATGTCGTACAAGACAAGCTGGATCAGACGACGACGACGAGGACGACGGCGACGACGACGATGGCGAGGACAAGGACGCCGGCGGTGACGACGGCGGCGACGACAACGCCAACGATGAGGAGCAGGAAGAGAACAAGGACGACGACGACGACGACGACGACGACGACGACGACGACGACGACGGTGGCGACGGCGACGACGATGGTGACGACGACGACGACAGCGTCGGGCGGGGGCAGCGCCCGAGGGGTCCCGCGGCCTGGAGAGCTCCCCAGGGAGGGCACCCTTCCCGAGGTATCAGATCGACGCCGGCCCAGGGAGGGCACCCTAATGTGCATCGTGCTTGTCGGATGCTCTCGTGTACGTATCCCTGGGGGACGGTGCTTCGGATGCTCTTCAACTTTCTTGAGGGATGGGTCTCATGCTCTTGAAAGATGGCATTCTGTCCCAGGTCCGGCCGTATCCCCCGCAACGTCTTCTTGCATGGATCTGGGCCTCCCAGAGGGGGTGGCGCAGATACGCCTCCTCGCCCTCCCCCTCGTCCTCTTCGCCCTCGCCCTCGCTCTTCCACTAGCGGCAGCAATATCCGCAGCCGCGCCCTGACGGTCTGGATTCTGGGGCGCGATCCCGCGGAGATTTCGCTAGGCCTCCCAGATGGGGTCGGAGCAGATGAGGTCGGAGGATCGAGCCGCATCGCCGATGCATTGGCGATGGTGTATCGGCGATGCATTGCCGATGCACTGGTGATGCGGCGCGAGGAGGGGGATATTTGGATGTCGAGGGCTCTGGGGGCCCTCGGGCTATGTTGGGCTCTGGGGGCCCCCTTGGGGAGCTCTTGTGGCGTCCCGGTGCAATCTTGCACCGAAGCCTTTCGAATCCCCCTGTAGGACCTCCCATATAAGAGCCCCATCTAACGGTCCGAGGACCACGCGGTGCAGCCCCCAGGTCAGTTTCGCTATCGTCGTGTGTTTTGCCGGATGCATTCGTCTGTCTTCGGATGCCGCTTGGCTATCCCGCGCGGGTCCACTCGCAAGAAAGCGGCGCCGTGAGCACGCGGAGTGCACGTGGCAGTTTTTATCGGAAGGGCGTTTTGCGAAAGGCCGTTTTGTCAATCTTCGGCATCGGGAAGAGAAAATACGATGGCCATGACCAAGTTGTCGCTGGATCTTGTCGACGCCGACTCTGCCCATGGACTTGGCCAGCCGTCGCCGATTCGCGATGATGATCCACGGATTGGCGATGACCAGTATGGGCGATGACCAAGATCGATGCCGACGTTGCCGTGTTCAGGTGTGGTCATGGTCATTTTTGTTTTTCCCTCAGGCCATCTCGCCCGGGGCCTCGAATCGGGGCAGCCGAGCGGGTCCCGCTCGGGCTCTCGAATCTCGGACCTGGAGAGGACAAGGAGGCAGATGAGAACGAGGACGAGGACGAGGACGAGGAGGGCCCCACCCCGAGAGATCAGAGTAGTTGTTTGTTTCCACACGGGGTTTCAGGAAGGCCCGACCTCTTCCCCAGGGTCAGTCTCTCCTCCCCAGCCGCTCGTTGGTGGTTCTGGCGCCAAGGCGAGGGCCCGCGGATCGAAGGTCGCGAAATGGCATGAACAAAGGCTTCCGGAGGTCCGCGCTGATTTCTCGGATCGGCGCTGGGCCCCCCTCCCTGGCGCGCGGATCGCGCCAGGTCGTGGGCGAAACACGTATCCGTATCGGCGGCCTCGCGGGCCAGACTCTTGGGTCGCGACCCCGCGGATACGGAATGTCTTTCCCAACCATCTTGTGGTGTTGGGTCCTCGTTTTTTCAAGAGACGGTCCCCGCGTTCTCCTCCTTTCTCTCTCCTCCCTCCCCCTCCTCCCCCTCCTCCCTCCTCCCTGCGTTTCGCCCATCCAGTACAGCGTTCCGTGGCCCCATAGGGAGCTCCACCAAAGGCCCCCGTGCCACCGTCCACATGCGTCCCCCACACCAATTTCGGCACACCATTCACACGTTTCGTGGCCCCACAGGGCGCTCCACCGAAGGCCCCAGTGCCACCGTCCACGCGTCCCCCGCACCGATTCCAGCACAACCCTCACACATTTTGTGGCCCCATAGGGAGTTCCACCGAGAGCCCCAGTGCCACCGTCCACTTGCGTTCCCCACACCCATGTCGGCCCACCTCTCGCATGTTTCGTGGCCCCAGAACGGCTCCACCGAAGGACCCCGTGCCACCGTACGTGCGTCCCCACACCCATGTCGGCACACCCCTCATACGCTTCGTGGCCGCATAGGTAGCGCCACCGAAAAAGAGAACCCACAATTGCCGTACAAACTGGGTACTGTGCAAGGCTTATTCCCAACCATCCTGTGGTGTTGGGTCCTCGTTTTGAAGAGACGGTCCCCGCGTTCTCTTCCTTCCTCTCCTCCCTCCCCAATCTCCCCCTCCTCCCTCATTCCTGCTTTTCACCCACCCAGTACAGCGCTCCGTGGCCCCATAGGGAGCTCCACCGACGGCCCCAGCGCTACAGTCTATATGCGTCCCCCGCACCCATTTCGGCACACTCCTCACACGTTTCGTGGCCCCATAGGGAGCTCCACCGAAGGCATCAGTGCCACCGTCCACATGCGTCCCCCACACCCATTTGGGCACAGACATCACGTTTCGTGGCCCCACAGGGGGCTCCACCGAAGGCTCGACTACCACCGTCCACATGCGTCCCCCACACCCATGTCGGCACAACCCTCACACATTTTGTGGCCCCATAGGGAGCCCCACCGAAGGCCCCAGTGCAACCGTCCCACGCCCATGTCGGCACACCGCTTACGCGTTCCGTGGCCCCATAGGGAGCTCCACCGAAGGCCCCAGTGGCACCGTCCACATGCGTCCTCCACACCCATGTCGGCACACCTCTCACACGTTTCGTGGCCCCATGGGGAGCTCCACCGAAGGCCCCGCGCCACCGTCCACATGTGTCCCCCACACCCATGTCAGCACACCCCTCACACCCCATAGGGAGCTCCACCGAAGGCCCCAGCGCCACCGTCCACATGTGTCCCCCACAGCAATTTCGGCACACCTCTCACACGCTTCGTGGCCGCATAGGGAGCGCCACCGAAGAAGATATTCACAAATGCCGTGCGAACAACTGCATATGGTTGGGTCCTTCGCCAGGCTAATTTCGCTGATGCCCCGCGCGGAACGTATCCGAGCGATTGCGTATCCGCGGAATCGCGCCCCAGACTCCAGACCGCGACGGCGCGGATACGGATATGTTCGCCGCTCGTGACCAGGGGCGGCGCCGGGGGGGGCCAGTGCTGATCCATGAAGTCCGCGCGGACCTCCGACAGTTTTTCTGTTCATGTCATTGTTTGTCCCTCAAGCGGAGGCCGAAAACCGCGAAACAAGTCCGTCTCGATTTGTTCAAGACGTTGGAGGAATACGGGGTCCCTGGGACACTTCCCCCTGGGCCGGTGGTTCATCCCGAGCCGCTTGTTGACAGCCGCGGCGCCCTGCGAGAGCCCGCTGCTCCAAGAGCATTCCGCGCGGACCTCCGCAAGTTTATGCCTGTGTCATCTGAATGGCCCCTCGTGCGGAGGCCAAACGCGGCGAACAAAAGTACGTCTCGATTTGTTCAAGACGGTCCGTCTCGATTTGCTCAAGACCAGGGGCGGGCCAGAGGGGGGTGATGACTAGGGGGGGGGGGGACATCATAGCCACCCCAGGGGCCGCGCACATGCCTGGGGCCATATGGTCTGCGAGCCCCCCCTCTTGGGACGCCCCCACTTCGGACGCCCGCGACCAGACGTTGGAGGCCCGGGACGCGAGCGGAGGCCGAAAACGGCGGAAAAAAAAGCACGGGGCCTCTACACCTTAGGCGATGCTTAAGAAAACCTAAG